AAAAATAATAATTATATTCCACTTTTGGCTCATCAGGCCCATACACCCCAGTGAAACAAGAAAAGCTGTCAAAATCAACAAAAAAACCCTAACCATATTAAATGTAAATGGATGAAACAATCCATTACAAAAATTAGAGATTGTCAGATGGATAAGATCCAACTCTGTGCTGTCTACAGGAGACACACTGTAGGTTCAGAAATATGGATAGGGTGAAAATAAATGGATGAAAGAAGACATATCATGAAAAAAGCAACTGCAAGAAAGCTGGAGTGGCTATACAAATACCAGCTAAAATAGACTTTAAAACAAAAAGTCTTATTGGAGATAAAGAAGGATATTTTATAATAATGAAAAGGCCAATTCATCAGTAACTTATAACTATTAAAAACATATGCACCTAACAACAGAGCTTTAAAATATGTGAAGCAAAAACTGACAGAATTTAAGGGAAAAGTAGACAAACTCAGAAACAATAATTGGAAATTTCAATACCCCACTTTCAATAAGGGATAGAAAAAAATAAGCAGAACATCAACAAGTAAATAGAAGACTTCAACAACACTACACACTAAATAGACTTAACAGGACTATTTATATATTTATAAAACACTTCACCCAATAACAACAAAATGTATAGTCATCTCAACTACACACAGAATATTCTCCAGGATAGACCATACAGTAGGCCATAAAATAATTCTCAGTTAATTTAAAAGATTCCAGTCACACCAAATACAGTATCTGATCACAACGGAGTAAAATTAATATAAAAGAAATTTTAGAAATTCACAAATTTGTGAAAATTGATCAACAAACTCTTAAATACCAGTGGATAAAGAAGCAATCACAAAGGAAACTAGGAAATACTTTGAGTTCAATGAAAATGAAGACAAAACATATCAAAACATATAAAATGCAGCTTAAGCAATGCTTAGAGAGAAATGCCTACATTAAGAAAAGAAGGCCGGGCGCGGTGGCTCACGCCTGTAATCCTAGCACTCTGGGAGGCTGAGGCGGGCGGATTGTTTGAGCTCAGGAGTTCGAGACCAGCCTGAGCAAGAGCGAGACCCTGTCTCTACCAAAAATAGAAAGAAATTAATCGGACAGCTAAAAAAATATATAGAAAAAAAAAATTAGCTGGGCATGGTGGCACATACCTGTAGTCCCAGCTACTTGGGAGGCTGAGGCAGTAGGATTGCTTGAGCCCAGGAGTTTGAGGTTGCAGTGAGCTAGGCCCTCTAGCCCGGGCAACAGAGTGAGACTCTGTCTCAAAAAAAAAAAATAAATAAAAGAAGAAAGTTCTCAAACTATATAACCTTCCACCTTAAGACACTTAAAAAATTATAAACCCAAAGCAATTAGAGGGAAGGAAACAGTAAACATTAGAATGGAAATTAATAAAATAGAGAATATTAAAAACATTAAAGAAAATTAATTAAACCTAAAATTAGTTATTTGAATGATTAATAAAATTGGCAGAACTTTAGCTAGAATGACCAAGAGGGAAAAGAGAAGGTTCAGATTAGTAACATCATGAAGAAAAGGTCCATGACAACAGCAAGAAGTCACAGGGATTAACAGCCAAACAGTCTCATTTTAGGTCAATTAAAATTAGAATAATTTATTAAAAATAAATGTTCTAAAGTATATGTGAAAATGAATGGGACTGCTGGACAACGGGTAATTTGGGACATACGGTCACTCTCATTGTAACAGACATCTCTGAACACATTTATCCTCTTAGTTGTGTGTTTGTAAAATAGGATTCAGGTTTAAAGTGATATTTTCCCCATTTTACAGCTATGGATAGATGTTTTGTAAGTATTTTAAAATTGTTCTAAGTTATTGTGTATCTCCTCCAAGTAAAATTTAAATTCTTCAAGCATAACAGTTTTATTATCTGTATATTTGGGTTTTAAAAGGTTCTCCCACAGTCTAAGGTCATGCAAAGCTTATAACATGATTCATAGATTTCAAATGGCCGATGGCAATGCTAGAATGTTCTAATATAACACTCTCTTGTGTTTTTGTTACCCAAGCCATTTGCACTCATTCATACTCATTGAAAATTAGAAAATACAGTTAAACAGAAAAACACAAAATAATTTATTTCTGATTTCATTCCTTGAAAATAACCCATATTTTCTAGAATTTTTTTCTGTGTGAGATACTGCTAATGCTAATGAGTAATCCCTATGTAGATTTCAAATTTGAAGTGCTAATGAGCAGTTTGTTGTCATGTTCTCTCACAAACTCCAAGTTCTGTTATGTCTTCTGCTTGATTCTAGGTCTCTATCCCCCTACCAGTGGAAAGGCCTATATTATTGGAAAGGACATTTCAAAGCAGATGGTCCAGATTAGGAAATCTTTGGGCATATGTCCCCAGCAGGACCTGTTGTTTAATTACTTGACAGTAGCAGAACACCTGCATTTCTATTGTGTGGTGAGCCAAAGACACTTTCCTTTTATCCACTCTATTCATGTACTTCAAGTCGATTACTATTGATATCCTTATTCTCATAAAGTTCAAAATTTGATTTTCATGAATTTTTCTTTAAACATAAAGAGAAGCAAAAGGAACACACTGCTTCGTGGATGATATAAGAAAAGAGCCGCTATATGCCAATGTTTGGCTGTTCACAATAGCCAAAAAGGTGGGAGCAACCCAATTACAAGTCCTTGTTATTCTTACAAGAAATTTTTTTCATTTTGATGCAGGTGTTTCCTACCTTTTTTCCCCCACCCCATTTTCTCCAAAAATGGAAGAATAAAGAGGAAAATTTGACAATCAAGGAAAAAAAAAGAGCTACTGTAAAATATTTCTAAGAATAAAGTCAGAAGCAACATGCAAACTCTGTCTCTTCTTTCTAGATAAAAGGAGTACGTGGAAAGATAAGACCTAAGGAAATTGACAACATGCTGTCTGCTTTTAACCTGCTGGAAAAGCGTGATGCATTGTCAAAGGCACTGAGTGGAGGAATGAAGCGCAAACTCTCCATCATTATATCTCTTATAGGGGACTCCCAGGTAAGATAGCTAGATGATAGATAGATAGATAGATGGATGGATGGATGGATAGATAGATAGAGATTCCCCTGCACACTGCAACTGGTCGAAAATAATCAGCTGACACAAATTTGCAAGCTGATCTAGATCTAACATTCTAAAAAGGAAGCTCCTAAATGAAAATCTGATTCACATTATCAACCTTGTTGATATAACATGACCACAGGTTTGTAATCATTTCAGCATTCCTAACTCAGTTTTTCCTAAACGTATTATTTTAGCTTAATTGAACAAGTGAAAACTGGTAAGACACTCATGGTGCCAGTACATAGTATATATAACAATGGTCATGGAGTTCTTCTGGTCTTTAGGTAGTGATACTTGACGAGCCAACATCCGGCATGGACCCGGCCTCAAGGAGGGTCACCTGGGATCTCCTTCAGCAGTGCAAACAGGATTGTGCCATCTTACTGACCACCCACCACATGGACGAAGCTGATATCCTGGGCGACCGCATAGCCATCATGGTCAAGGGATCCCTCAAGTGCTGTGGCTCTTCAATTTTCCTGAAAAAAATATATGGTCTGTCTCCCTTGCTTGTTCTTAGGATATTGATTCCTTAATAATATTCTTCTAACATAAGTTTTATTGTTTTTTTTCTATCTACCAAAAAATTCAATGATTCCCTCTATTCTGTTAACTAGGGTTCACCTGTGAACCCTTTGAAATAATGGTCATATTTTCTTCAAAATTCAAAGTTATTTCTCACTTAAATGTTTAGTATATTATCCAAAATTCATGTTCATTTTTTCCATATGACTTCTACTGAAATTCTAATTTGTTTGAATGCATTTGTACCTTCAAAAAAATTAGAGACAGAGAGAGAGAGGGGTAGATAGATGATGGGTGATGAATAGATAGGTAAATTGATGAATTAATGGACTGCACGGGAAGCACAGGGAACTGTATATCTTTGCTTCTTGTTTCTTTTTGCCACACCGTGTTAAATTGCTTTTATATGAGCAGAATAATTTGTTACAATCTAAAGAAGAATTTTTCTAAACATTGAAAGTACGAATATGTCCTAATAGCTTCCTTACCTTTTTTTAGGTCTTTATTTAGAGTTACCTATGCATCGATCTTCTTTGACCCCCTAAATAAAATTTTAACACCTCATCTTCAATATTTCTTCTTTCTATGTTTTTTTCTTAAACACTAACTTAATAAAATATAAAACTTATTTTCACCTTGTCCATTTTCCATCTCTCCTCTGTAGAAGAAATGCTCTTATCAAGGAAGAATTTTTTTAAATTGAAGTATAACTTATATACAGTGAAATAGGTAGATTTTACATGTTCAATTCAATGAGTTTTTACAATTTTATGTACTTATTTGACTACAAGAAAAACAAGACACTAAATAGTTCCATGACTTTAGAAAGTTGCTTTGAACCTCTTTCCATCAGTTCATCTCTCCTAGAGAAAACTACTTTCTGATTTTATTCCCATGTATTAGTTTGCCTGTTCTTGAGTGTCATATAAATTAATGATACACCATATTTTTTTCTTTCTGGTTTCTTTACTTTGGCACAATATATTTACAATTTATCTATGTTGTTGCATGTATCAATAGTATGTACAATCTAATCTTCATGGATTTTTATGTTGTTTTAGGTCATTTCTGGTTTTCAAATATCATAAACAAATGTGCCATAAACTTACAAAAAAACTCTCTCTTGAGTAAAAATTTGTCTTGGATTAAAATACTTAATAGTGGAGTATTTTGGTACTTAGTGTTGGAGTATTTGGTTAAAAATTGGGTTCTAGTAAAAGATTCTCCAAAGTGCTTGTAATATTTTATATCAGTCAGCATATTTGAGATTTTCACTTGCTCCATATCCAATGACTTTACTTTGAGTTTGCTCATTCTTTCTACTGTTTGATATAGTCCACTCTTAAACCCACCTAGTGAATTTTTCAGTTCAGTTATTGTATTTTTAGCTCCATGGTTTCTGCTTGGTACTTTTAAAACTTCACTGTCTCTTTGTTGAAATTCTCAATTTATTCATTTATTGTTCTCTTGACCTCAGGTAGCATCTTTATGAGTTATTTTAAATTCTCTGTGAGGTAAGTTATATCTCTCCATTTTATTAGGCTCAGTTCTGATGATTTATATTGTTACTTTATTTGGAGAATATTTCCCTGTTTTTTCATTTTCCTTGATTCACAATGTTTAAGTGTGTTCATTAAACAAAATAGCCATCTCTTTATTTCTTCATAGACTGGCCTTGTACTGGAGGAGACCCTCCCCAATCATCCTGGCCTGAGATTCTGGGAGCCTCTAAACTTTCATGCTAGCCCAACCCATTTTCTTTGTTTTTAGTAGCTCCGAAGCATCTAGAGTATGCAGGGTCTGATTGAAGCCAGTTCTCCAAGCAGTGCCAGATAAATTGGGCTATTGAATGCATTGTGTACCTCTTTCCCTCTCCAGATATAAGCTTGGAACTAGGGTTTTCCATACACTCACTCTGTGCCGAGTTGGTGCAAGTCACTATGACAACTGACAACCTAAATTGCCATCTCTGCTCTATTTGGCTTCAGGTGCCTGTATCTTATGTCTTATTAGGGATCTAAGATAGGATAGACATAATCCAGCCTTCTTTGTAACCCCCATAAAAGTTGGGGTGTTTCATATATTGTGTAACTCTTTACCTCCCAAGAGAGAAGCTAGGGGCTGTAGTTCAACAAGCTCTGTGGTGAGCTGTGGTCGGGGCGGGGGAGTAGTTGCTAGGATGACTGCCAGCCCAGATCACTGCCTCTGTTCTCACTGGCCCCAGGTGAGTGAAGTATGCCATGTTTTCACAGCACTCCAAGACAGGCAGAAGCCAATTCTCTGCTTGGTTCCTAGAAAATCGGGGCACTGGATGAATGGTGCACTTCTCCCTCTCCAGGGAGAAGCTGGGAGCTGTGGATTTTGTCCTGATTGTATGATGATATGCTGGGGTAGAGATTATGGCAAGACAGTATCTTGAGTTTTTCAACCAGTTTCAATATGGCTAGTTTTGTATTTGCCTGGAGTGCTAGGGCCTATTAACTAGTTCCTGGATTTCTCACAAAGGAAATCTGCACTGCACTGTTGTTATATTTGTGTCTGTAGTGGGGAAGGGGAGGGTCCAGGGCTTCCTATTTCTCCGTCTTGCTAATATCACCCAGACAGTTTTTTCTTTCAGCACCTTGAATATATCAACCGATTGCCTTCTGGCTTTCAAGATTTCTAACGAGAAATTAACTGGTAATCTTATTTCAGATCCCCAGTATGTGACGTGTTGCTTCTTTCAAGATACTCTCTTTTTCTTTGCCTTTTGACAGTTCGATTATAATGTGCCTTGGTGTGAGTCTCTTTGATTTTATCCTACATGGAGTTCATTGAGCTTTTGGGGTTTTTAGATTTGTGTCTTTTATCAAATTTGGAGAGTTTTAAGCTGGTATTTCTTCAAATATTCTTCCTGCCATTTTCTCACTCTCTTCACCGTCTGAAGTCCCACTATATGTATGTCAGTCATCTTGTTGTCTCTCAGGTCCCTTAGATGCTGATCACTTTTCTTCATTATTTTTTTCTGTTCCTCAGAATATATAATTTCAATTGTTCCATCTTCAAGTTCGCTGTTACTTTCTTCTACTTGCTCATCTCTGCTTCTGAAAAACTCCAGTGTATTTTTTTATTTCAGTTTTCGTACTTTTTAACTCCATGCCTTTTTGCTTCCTTTTTGTACTTTCTGCCTCTTTATCGATAATCTCATTTTGTTCATACATTGTTTTCCTGCTTTTTCCATGTCTTCCTTTAGATCTTTACAAACGATTAAGATCAGATGGTGTTTTAAAGTCTTTGTCTATGCGTGACCCCACAGTGCGAAAAGTCCCCTGCCTCTGTTTCCCACAGCTTTCTTGTCCCCAACACTGCTTTGAATCAGGCCCAAATATAATTAGCTTCCTGTTCTGATGAGCGGGGTTATATTTTCATTTCTTTGCATGTTTTGTAATTTTTATCTTATGACTGATGTTGTGAATAAAATGCTACATCAGTGTTTTCCACAAAGTTCTGGAGTGCCCCAGAGGGATTTTTCTCTGCTCCCTTATACCACCCCTACCTTCAGGAAAGCCAGTAAAGTGTACCTAGTGAAAACACAAAGCGCTTTAGGAAGATTTCTCAGATCTCTGAAGGATAGAATTTTTATCTGAGTTATTTACTGCCTGGAGTATATTATAACAGGCACCCAGTAAATATCTGTTTAATGAATATTAATCTCATTTTCTCAGATTTCAATGTCAATCGGATGAGAAGGCAGATAACAGAGGCTTTCCATACTATCTTCACTCTATCTTGTTATACAATCCAGATCCTTATCAATCCCTAAAAAAATAATGAAATTATAAAAAAAATATTTATTAGATTCTCAGATGATTTGTGACACGCCCTATCTTCTTCTTACTCACCAAGCCATGGAAAGTCTAGTATGGTCTCACAAGAGTATGGGAAGTGCAAAATTGTTTTATTTGTTTCTCTAAATGGATTTTCTCAGGTGTGGGATACCGTATAGTCCTGGTGAAGGAACCTCACTGTGACGTTGAAGAAATCTCAAGATTGATTCATTATTATACACCAACAGCCACTTTGGAGAACAATGTTGGAACTGAATTATCATTTATTGTACCGAAAGAGTATATATACAGGTATGGATCCAGAGAGTGCTAAATGGATGATTTTTAGATAGCCAGCAATCATTGTTACTTTTCCTAGTTTCTTCAGGCTCAGTAAGTAGAGTTTATTTAATAAGATAAAAGTCCTACACTACAGAGAGAGATGCTACCTAATGGCTGCGGTTTGCTGGTGTTAATTGGTGATGACCGATGGTATGTTGTTGGAAAAGTAAAAATTACTCCTGGTGAGTGGAGTGAAGGGGACTATTAAGATAATGAAAGAAAAAAATGAGATGGTTAGCACCCCCAAATGGGTTATTCAAAGAAAGTCTTAAAAGTGGTAACATCATCGTTCTTTTTTTTTTTTTTTTTTTTTTTTTTGAGTTTGGGGTGTGGAACAAGGTTGGCTCCTGAGCAGCAAAGTTGGAAAGATATATTAGAGTTATAAAAATGTATGTGGTAGAGCAAAAACAGAGCTAGTATTTGAGATTAGGACCAGCAGGTTAATCAGGAATAAATAGAAAGAAAATTGAATGTGAACATGATAGATCCAGATGAAATCTTGTTGGATGAGTTCTGCTTTGGCAATGCCTCTTTTGAAGTGTCCTGATTTCTTCTTCTACTTGTATTAAAGGCATGGAATTTTGAAGTTTGGATACAGCAATAAGAAAAAGAAAAATCTAAAATTATGTTAGTATCTTGACCAAGAATGTCAAGGAAAAGAAGCTTCAATGCTGTCATCAAGGAAGCAAAATTTCTCAATTCTTGTTTGGATTCAATCTTTTTGATCAAAGAGAATTGTCTTTTAGTTTAAAAGACATGATCAAACAAAGAAAGAAAGATTTTCAGGGTGATTCTCATAGCTGCAAATAAGTTCAAGCCTCCAAACTAGGATGAAGTACATATGAGCTTCTCACATCTCTATAAAGTGATTGTAAAGAAATAAATGTTAAAGTGAAATAACATTGTGACAAATGAGAATATAAAATGTACTTATTTTACCTTTTTACAAATGATATGATGATTTGTAAGATTAGAAAGATTAAATCAAATAGTAACATTAACTCAATTGTAAATGAAATGAAAAGATTAAATCAAATGGTAATTAGTGACATGGGATGAAATCAAACATAGGCCCATTTATCTCCACAACCTATGTTTTTCCGTCTATATCATGGTGTTAGAAAACCGGAGAAATAAACGCCAATCTCATTTTAATTTTAAACATCACAAATTGGCACCAATGATCCCAAAGTTGATTATGGGGGGGAAAAAAACACCAGAACGAGAACTTAAAAGACAGATCACTGAATCAGGCAGAATCACACCTCAGTCTTAGACAGAATTTCCTCTTAAAGTTTTACATGATAAGAATTCAGTCCTGGACAAATTAGTATATTTTCATAAGGATGGGAGAAAATGAATGGACTATAGAAAAGATACCACATTTCGGAAGAATAGGATCACACTGAAAAATCATAATAAATGTCAACTCTGAAAATAAATGTACTATAAAAATAGAAAACTTTTGAAACTCTCTGATTTAAAATCTCAATCAAAGAGGACACTGAATCTAGACCCTAGACCAAGCAGTTTTGAAGAGGAAAAACGAGATAAAATTTGTGATTGGCTAATAAAAACTGAGCAAATAATTACGGCAGAAAATAATAGAATTAATTAAAGAGAAAACTATGTCAAAAATTCTTCCCAGAAATGTGACACAAAATTACAAAGAATAAGAACATGACATTACCACTACACATCCCCACCAGAATGGCTAAAACTAAAAAGGCAGACTGTGGCATGTGAACGTGGAAATGGGATCTCATTGTTGATAGAAGTGTAAAATGGTAAAACCTCTTTCTAAAATATTTGGTCATTTTCACTAAGCCAAATATGTTCTTATCCTATGACACAGTAATTTTACTTACTCCTAGTATATACCTAGGAGACACAAGTCCATCAAAAGACACGTGAAAGAATGTTTATATTCACAGCCACTTTATTCATAATAGCTCCAAACACAAAACCAACCAAAACATCCATTAGTAGGAATATGGATGAATATTACTCAGCAATAAAAAAGAATGAACTCTGGTGGGATATTCAACAACAGGAAGAAATCTCACAGACATTGTGGTGGGCAAAAAAGTAAAGACTATAAGATACCATTTATATGAAGTTCAAGAAAAGGCAAAACCAATCTTTAGTTGTCAAATCCCTAAACTGTTACCATACGTTGTGTGTGTGCGTATGCATGTGTGTGTGTGTGCACACAAATGAGGTTATTGACCAGGAAGGGGCATGCTGAAATTGCCTTGTGGAATTAATATGTGTGCATTGTACAAAATTCAGAAAATAAATTGCTTATAGCAATTTACTAGTTTCTTTCTCTCCATTTGTCCCACCTGTCTGATTTACCGGAGGCATAAAATTATAATAAGCATCAAAGTGAAGAATGGTCTACATTTTCCCCACTGCTGAGGGGAAATCAATTTAGAATAAAAAGATATAAATATGAAAATCATCTGGTTTGGTGATAGCTTTTTCTCTTCCTCTTCTACTTTTAGATTTGAAGCTCTGTTTACTGCTCTGGAAGAAAGACAAGAAGAGTTGGGCATTGCTAGCTTTGGTGCCTCTGTCACTACCATGGAAGAAGTTTTCCTTAAGTGGGTAACGATATATAGGGAAAAGAAAAGCCTTGGAGGGGAAGGACCATGTCTTTAGTTCCCTTTGTAAACTCACCAAACTTTCAGATTTCACACAGTAGAAATTCAAGGGCAATGGGGGCTGTTTGGGAGCCATTGTTCTATTAATACCCTAGTTAACCATGTTGCCTCTAAATAATGTTCCTGCCAGGCAGTGAGCAAACCAAGGAGCCTTCTGAGTTGGGGGTTGCAACTCATATTCTCCAAACAAGATATATTGGGATAAAGTTGAAGTAAAATGCGTTGTACATTTTTTTGTTAATATAGGGTCGGCAAGATGGAAGATTCAATCACAGATACAGAATCTATGCAGCCTCCTATCCAGATGAGCAAAGTCTCTGTCAGGAACCAGAATATAAATGTGTCAAGTAATGTTGACAAAGCAGATTCTCCCCCTCAAAATGAAAGCCCTTCTGTTAGGTTTAATGCTGGGGTGAGAACCTTTACTAAAAAACATGGTGCATACTTGGTTGGAGTGCAAAAGGTACATTTTTTCAACCAGATGTGAAGCAGTCTGGACCACAACCTAATTAATTTTCTAATGCAGAAGCGATGGGTTCTGGATAAAGATATAAGCTGTTTACTTTCGCCATTGTTATTCCTTGGTTCTTTTTTTTTTGTGTGTCAGAATATATATTTTTTCCAAATTAGTAACCCCAAAATTTGTTAGTTTATTGAAGCCAGAGTAAAGGTACTAGTAAATCTGATTTTTAGTAATAAAGTGTGCACAATACTTTAAGTATTTTAAGTTTTTGCAGTGGAAATCGTTACTGCATAAGGGATCATTCCCTATTCAGGATGATTTTCTGCATGGGAAGTCTCTTTGAGTTGCCAAACATTTCTTCCATTCTCCTTCTGATTGTATATTTCTTCTATAAAGAAAGAAGAAATTTTCTTTGCAGTCAGGAGTCTGAGGAAAATCATCCTTTTGAGATTTTGTGTGTCATATCTAAAGCCAAGCCTTAAACATTTTATTTAATAATAGCAAAGGTCAGCAAACCTTGTGTGAATAGATAACAAATATTGAAGGCATGTGGGCCATCTGGTCTCTGTGATAATTACTCAACTCTGTCATTAGAGCACAAAAACAACCACGGTGATACAGAAATAAATGGACATATCTGTGTTCCAATAAAACTTTGTTTACAAAGTCAGGCCTTAGTTTGTTGACCCCTGCCTTATACAAAGAATAGACTGATCATATTATTGTGATGGTTATGTTCTGTTCCAAGTATTTATTTGTATAAACTATGTGTTTATACCTTAACACTTTTATATGTTCATATCATAAAATTTCAAAGCATGAATTTCAACATGAATGAACTGTTTATGACTATTGTAATGGTATGTTCCTCTCCTCTTTCTTTAGTGTTCTCTCTACAACCAGCAGTTCTATGCCATGTTCCTAAAGAGGGTGATGTTCAGTTGGCGCAACTGGAAACTGGTTTTGCTACAGATACTGGGACTTTTAGGTTCCTCTGCCTTACTCTTGAGTTCTCGTGACTTCGCACATGAAGATCCTATCAGGACGATGGATTTAAGTGAATATGGTCAAACCATTGTGCCTGTTTCTGTTTCTGGACATTCTAGTTTGCCTATGTATCTCTTTAAACAACTTGAGAGTATTCTAAAGTTTAAGAACCAAAGAATTAAGGACGTGAAAGGTAAGGCTCATTAGGGAAAAAAAAAGAAAAAAAGGCTGCTCTTAGAGATGATCTGCTGTGTTACTTCCAAAGAAGGATCTTAACTATGGTATTTGGCTACCTGCTCCATTCTTTTCCTGCTAGTTATGAATATCTTAAAAGCCATTAAATTAAAGTCAAGGAATAGCCTCTTTGAAAAGCGACTAGTCTCAAAAGTTAATTATTATTGTAGGCACTTTGGCTGTGGGTTGTCTACAAGGCATTTATTGTTCTTTTCAAGTAAAAAAAAACGAAAGTGCCAAAATACATTTTACTGAAAAATTAAGAATGAAGTGTTTAAAAAGTGCTGGCCAGAATGTAGTGTATCTCATGCATGGAATGGTGGTCCCATGTCCTGCAAGCTATTCTTCAGTCTTCTAGACTGATCACATCTAAAACAGGAATACTGAAGTCTTAGTGCAGTAGCTCCTAAGGATGCATGTATTTTTAAGATAGTAATAATAATAGT